AAAATTCGATACATATCATGTTTATTTAAGTGAATGTCCAATAAAATTCTAATTTCTCCTTTAATAATTATAATTTTAATGTAAGGTTACATAAGAAATATTCTCTTCCTAACCTTGCATCTTGAAATTCTAATAACACTCATATTTTTAAAATTATTTTAATTAATAGGGGAGGATGGGGCAAGGATAGTTAGTTGTTGTTATGCTTAGACGGCTTGCTCAAAATTCGCGTCATTCATGGTATATTTGCGTCTTAACACCAATAGATGATAGTAAAAATTGGAAGTTAATCTGCCACCATTTGCGAAGTCAGGAGTTTATTTTTGTAAAAAGTCTGTTTTGCTAAAATATCAACGTAGTGTTTATCATACTGTTTTTTTATATTAATGCTTCCGAATATTTATTTTCGTAAGTATTTTCCAGAGTGGAATTTCCTGCTGAACACGAATATCGTATTTATTTACAAATTAATTCACGTCGTTCCTTACGGCTCGATAAAATCCTGCTAATGCGACTGCAAGTTATAAAAAAATGTTTAATTGTTCTTTTTAGGTTGATATATATAATGGTACGTAATTATATACGGAAAACGAAGCTTATTGACCAAGAAATTGGTGATCATCTGAAGAAAATTGGTGATACAGCCCTGAATGAAGTCTTGTTACACGTGTTTTGAGTAGCTCTGATAATTTGTCGGTATAAAAGAGTCGTCACGGCAGTCAAATGCTCTGCATATGTAAGACAGCGTATTATCACGTATCGTGCGCTCTCAAAGGACAATGGACTCCTGGTGTTGGCTTTAGAAAATGTTGCGGTACTCCCTCACCCCTACCTGGCTTATCTCAAGATCAACCTGTTCTCTTTTCTATGGATCAACTACGACTTATCATCAGGGAAGAATTTATATAATTCCGTAATGACTTCTCTTCACTGCAAAACAATGTCACCAAAATCACACAAGACGTTAAATCTCAATCAAGTAAACTTGACAAATGCATATCGAAAGTCAAGTCTATAACGCAACGAGTTGAAGATCTGGAAACTCAGTCTCAATCAACTCTTTCTATTATTAACTCAATATGTTCTAACTTAGTCTCTCTCGATGATTTTAAGACTTGGCGAATAGGCCTGTGGTCACACACAATGCAGAAACCAAGACCACTCAAAATCATATTCAAGGACCCTCAATTTCCAAAGAAAATACGGGACCATTTACCTAAAAAATAATTGATTAAAAAAACGTCAATTTTGTCGCGAAACTTATGAGCATCAAATTAAAATATTATCTTCTACTATACACAAAGATATTCGTCGAGAACATCGAAAATATATCAAAGAAATTGAGAGTAATATTAAAACAAACCCAAAGTCGTTTTGGTCCTTTGTCAACAACTCAAAAAAGAAATCTCCTGTGCCTGATAAAATGTACTTTAAGAACCGCACTCTAAATAATCCGCAACTAATTACTAAAGCATTTTTTGAAATTTTTTCATCAATTAATTGCATAAATCGACAGTCTCAAGCGCGTGATATGCCAAATGATCGTTCTCCAATAACTGATTTTTTTTACAACCTGATCGGGTCCTAAAGGCCACCAAATCATTAAAACCATCATGCACTGCTGGCTTTGATGGTGTACCCAATTTTTTTGTCAAAGACTGTGCTATTATTTTATATCAACCTTTGACTGACATTTTTAACCAGTCATTATTACATGGACAGTTCCCCCAGAAATAGAAAACCGCTAAAATTGTTCCTGTCTTTAAATCAGGCGACAAATCGAACTGCGAAAATTATAGGCCAATAGCTATTATTTCTAATTTCGCCAAAGTGTTTGAACTATCTATATTACCATTTTTAAAAAATTCTATAAAATCGTCCCTTACTACCCAACAACATGGATGTATACGCCATCGATCCACAATTACTAACTTAGCTTGTTTTAAACATTTTGCCGTAAACTCTTTACAAAGAGAATCACAAGTTGATGTGATATACCTCGATTTTTCAAAGGCGTTTGACACTATCGACCATGAAATTTTAGCAAAAAAACTTAGTTTTTTTAAATATACCCTATAATTTACACAAACTTCTTTTAAACTACTTAACAAACAGATCACATTCAGTCTCCGTAGGAGACCATCTCTCTAAACCTTCCACCCCCTCCCGTGGTGTACCACAAGGTTCTTCCTTTGGATCTCCCATGTTTACCAAATATATCAATGACATAACTGATATTATTAAATCACAAATTTTGATCTTCGCGGACGATATAAAAATCTATCGGTAAATAAACTCCGAACATGACTCCGAAGACCTACAAAATGACCTCAATAACATCTCTGAATGGTGTAAGATTAACAAACTTGATCTCAACATACATAAATGTCATGTTATATCTTTCCACGAACCTTCGTCTATTCAATTTACAAACACGTATAAAATAGACAATCATGAATTATCAAGAAAAAATTCGGTCATTGACCTTGGAGTTACTTTCAATTCTCCTTTAAGCTTTGCCGATCACATCACAAGTCTAATAGCCACAGCATCCTGAGCCCTGGGTTACCTTATCAGGTCGTCTAAACATTTTTCTAACATTTCAACTATAATTCTACTGTTAAACTCTTTTGTCCTGTCACGCCTTGAGTATGCCGCGATCATATGGAATCCTATGTATAACATCCATGCAAAAGAACTTGAACGTATTCAAAAAAATTTTTTTAAATATTTGTCTTTCAAGCTCGATGGATATTATCCACCTCGCGGCTCTGACTATTTGGCGCTTTGCGAGCGATTCAATTTTATTACTTTACAAGAACGTCGTATTATTACATCTGCTATGTTTATTTTTAAAATACTTAATGATCAAATAGACTCTACTGAATTGTTAAATCTCATTAATTTTAAAATACCTAGACCTAATTCAAGACATGATACTCCTTTTTATTAACATAATCAAATATCTTACGCGGGTTACAGTGTGCCTATTGTTTTTTCTTGCTAACATATCAATCAGATGTATAACACAATGAATCCTGACGTAGATTTGTTCTCATCATCGCAAAGTAAATTCTCACTTGCACTAGATAATTACATAAGAAATATGCGGACTACCATTTTATTTTAGTACAGAACATTTTTCTAAGACAACCTTATATGTAGTACTACTTATACACTTTATTGTAACGATTCAATCTATTATTATATTTACTTTTCATTTTTAGATATTTTTCACAACTCAAAAATTTTTTTTTTCTCTTCCATAATGTTGCGACCACTTCGATATTATATGTAGTTACCCATTTATGATCCTCATGAACTGCGGGGATTGTATAAATAAATAAATAAACCTCAGATTTTAGTTCAGACGAATTTTAATGCAATAATTTATATTTAGAAAATGTTTAAAACATGTTGTTAATACTTTATATATCAATATTGAATAGTCTAAATCCAATAAAATAAAGAAACCGAAAATTTACTGATTTTCTATGACAATTTTAGAATTCCGATTCTTTTAACTATCCTTACCCCAGTACCGGGGCAAGGATAGTTAACATTTTTTTTTACTTTTTCATTTGTATCTCGTAGGGATTGCATTCTACAGCAAAATAATGTATAGCAAAATTATAGCCAAATAACCAGGCTTTTCAAAAATACTACTCGTTTGCAGATACAGATTCAGGTTTGGTCGCTAGATTTGAGAACGTCTTACCTAACTATTCATGCCCCATCCTCCCCTAGTATTTACTAGTTAAGAATATCAAAATTTTTTTAAAAATTAAATTAATATTATTTATTTAAATATAATACTAATTTTTTAAAATATAGCATATCTTATAGAAACTTAATATTCATAAATTAAAAATTAGCATTTACACAATAACACTATAATACAACATTTTTTTGCTTGGTTATATTATATTAATTTCTTAAATTTGAAATATAGAAATTCAGACTCTTTTTAATTTTTTATTTTACTCGTAAGAGTGATTTCATAATAGATTTTATAGTACATTTAAACTTATTTATAATTAGTTTAATAGTATATTATGTGGCAAGCACGTAAAGTAGTAATTTTTAGGTGAGGATGTAATTTTCAGTACGAGCTGTCGTTAGTGCGACGTAGGTGAGATGAAGGCGAGCCAAGTCGAACCGAAGTCGCACAGACAGAGAGTATTGAAATCATCCGAACCTAAAAATTACTACGTGCGAGCCACATACGCTATTTTTTTTTGCCATTGTTATGAAAAAGTGAAACAATTTTATAAAGAAATATATATATATATATATTTAATTATAAATGAATTAATATGTTATAAATATATATATATATTTATATAATATATAATATAATATATATGAAATAGTATATAAAATAAAATAATAAAAATTGATAAATAAAATAAAAGCAAAACAAAAATTATGCAAAAATTAACAACTGCCTAATAAAGTCTTTTTTAGGCAGTTGGTTGAACTGTCTTAAAAAGTGCTACTTTATCTGCCCAAAACAGGCACAAAAAAGACACTTTTTCATGTCAATGGCGAAAAAAAATATTTTTGTGTTTTTTAATGGAAATTTTCTTAATTAAACAGTATATTGAATTTTCGATTTGATTAGAATTTTATGGCACGCAACTTCAAAGAGAATTTTATTACACAAACAATTGAATTAGATTCATATTCCACTAAATTTGCAATAAGAATCATATAGCATACACTTTTGAATTAGCATTTTATTCCACTGGCTTTTCAATTAGTCGAATTAATAGTGTTAATAAATAAACATTTAAAATTTATTTAGTAAAATTTTAGAAAATTGCTCCTTTCTGTATTCCTAATTATTAACATAGGAAGGTGAATTTTTATATTTATGTGTTTTTGTACTAAGTTCCTTTTGTGTACGAAACCCTAGGTTCCAGTGCGGATTTAACTCGCACACGTTTCTCAAACTTTTTTTTATTATTATTTATTAATTATGAATTTAATTAACTAACCTTTACATAATCTTTACAATCTCCGTCTTTAGTAGTTCGAAAATTTATTTCTTGAATTACAGCAAATAATCCCATGTCTTTGTGTTTTGTTTTAATTGTAAATTTACATTGTTTACCACTGTGGGAGATTTTCATCGTATAAGGTCTAATAATATAAGCTGAACCGTCAAAAGTATCTATTTTCATACCAGTAGATTTATTAAGAGGATGACAAATCTCTTCCTGCTCCAAAGAACCTGACACCAAGTTATAATTTATTATCAGGTAAAAATTTAAGAAAAACTAGATTTCTATAAAGTCGTCTCTTTGTATTATTACCAAATAATAATAATTATACTTACAAAATTTGTATTTTCCTTCAATTGAACATTCTGTTTGCCGTGCAAATGATTCCGAATGAGTTATTAAAAGTAGAAGATAAATTAATTTTATTTGGAGAAATAAACTACGTAGTAGTACCATATTAAATCAACCGTCATAAACATTCCATAAACTTAAATTCTTGTAGCACTTGAAGAAATTTAAATGTTTATTTACCTAATGTATTGTCGTGAAGTAATTAATTATATAAATATATATCTATATATATATATATATATATATGTATAGTGTAAAAAAGTTTGTTTACATTTAAAATTTTCACTATATTTAAAAGTAGGATAAAAAATCAAGATCAAAACATGGTCTAAAATAATAATTTTCTGGAAATATCTATAGAAATATATATTAGTACTGAGCAGTGCAACAGAAAAACAATTCACTATATGGTTAATTTACAATGGGTGTTTTCGGGAGTTGCTGACAGTATACTGACAGTAAAAAATTACCCAATCAGAATAAACATGCTGATGGATCAGCTAATCACAACATACTGACAGTATACTCACAGCAACTCCTGAAAACACCTAATATCACCTTTTCACTGTCACTGTAAAGGCCAACGCACAATAGATACGCGAAAGTCGTTCACGATACTTCTGTCGTGTACAATTAGAATAACAGACAAAAGATATTTCTATCCTTTTCTTTCTCATGTAAAAGCTTAAGATTTACGATTAGAAATTTCATTCTGCTTAAGGTGCTTCTTTACCTCAAATTTCGATCAGATGAACATTATTTCTGGACCGAGAAAATGCGTGAAAAGTCATTTTCACGGCGGGTATTTTTGAATTGTTTTAAACAAAAAATGTTTTTTTTAAGAAATATAATATTAAATAATTGTTTTAATATGTAAGAACACTTTAAAATAGTGATAGAAAGATGATTTGATTGAAAAATTTAGCAAACTTTGCTTTAAAAAGTTTCCTGCTACAAGAAAGTATAAAATGACGATGTTTGTGAAATGGTTTGTACAGTGCTTCTTCCTTATGAGTGTCTCTCAAAGTTTTGTTTATGTTATGTCGGTTCTTTTTAACTTGTAATAAATAATGAGTACTGAAAATGGTACCATCAATGGCAGACAACTAGCAGACAGCATTTCAGATATTGGCCCAAGCACAACTGATTCGCATACAGGATATGTAATTTCGCGCAACCGTCTTTAAAGGCCTTTCTCCAATATGCTGACTCTACATTGGCTGCGCAAACGTGTACGTGAACGTGAACGTGCTGACGTCACAATGTTATTCAAATGGGTGACGTCAGCACGTTCACGTTCACGTACACGTTTACGCAGCCAATGTAGAGTCAGCAATAGGAACCTAAACTTTTGCGTTGCGTAACTGACGCGTTGATTTTAGCATTGGTTGCCAATAGCAACCGACGCAATGCATACGCAACGCAAGAGTTTAGGATCCTATTGGAGAAAGGCCTTAATTGTGTGTTGAAAAACGGTTTCGCTAATGTTTCGCGCATACGGAAGCGCCTACAAGTCACCAGCGAACTATCTTGTTCGCGTCACATTTTTAGCTGTGAAACCGAGGAACGCGTTCGATGGTTTCGCTGTTTCCTTGTTTTTGAGTGACGATAAAACACACTATACGGTTCGATGGTTCTCTGGTTTTACTTAGTTCTATCGTTATCGAAGTCTAAATTTTGTATTAAAAAAATAAATTTAAATTTAAAAACCGAAATATAATAATATATTTAAATTATATATTTGAGATATATCAGATATCTTATAATGTGTGCCTAAAAATTTATTTTATTTAAAAATAATAGTACAAAATATTAATAGTATAGTACAAATATAAAATGCAAACAAATCAACTTACTTCAAAATAATATTTTGTACTATTATTTTTAAATAAAATAATTTTTTAGGCACACATTATAAGATATCTGATATATCTCAAATATATAATTTAAATATATTATTATATTTCGGTTTTTAAATTTAAATTTATTTTTTTAATACAAAATTTAGACTTCGATAACGATAGAACTAAGTAAAACCAGAGAACCATCGAACCGTATAGTGTGTTTTATCGTCACTCAAAAACAAGGAAACAGCGAAACCATCGAACCCGTTCCTCGGTTTCACAGCTAAAAATGTGACGCGAACAAGATAGTTCGCTGGTGACTCGTAGGCGCTTCCGTAGTTGCGGGAACTTACATATCCCGTATCCGACTAAGTTGTGCTTAGGCCTTATGCTGATTCTACATTCAACTGAAACTGTGCGAGCGGCAGAGATGGGTACGTAGAAAACCTCGAGTATAAGGCTGCAGTCCCATGGCAGCGTTTTGCGTTGCGTTTTGTCACTAGACCATGAGTGTAAAAGAGATGCAGATATATGTTTGCTATGTTTACACTCACGTTCTAGTGACAAAACGCAACGCAAAACGCTGCCATGGGACTGCAGCCTAATACAAGGTATTTTACGTGAAATATACACATATATGCATGAGTTTTCTACATGTGTATTATACAAAAGGCTAATTTTGAGAAACATAACCCCAAATCTGCTTGTTTAGAATTTCGAATTTTTAAAAGTTCGGATATTGGCAAAAATTAATTATTGATGGTTTACGTATATAAGTATTTCTCTTCTAAATTGAGAACAAAAGCACATTTGAAATGTTAAAATTTTCTACGAAATTATTGCAAATAAGATAATATTATTTAACTCAACTGAAAGTTGTCAATTGACCAATATTTCAATATTTTACCCCACATTTAAATCTTTACTCAATTTTCGCGTCGAAAATTTCTGGAAAATTTAATTTAAATCTTCCGTCAAGTTTTACGCCAAACATTTATTCATTTTGGACATTTAAATCTTTATACAATTTTCTCTAAACTTTGCAATTAAAGTTTCCGAAGTTTGCAAATAAATCTTTAGGAAATTTTCAGGAAATTTTCGGTGCTGTGGGGGATATTTATTAATTAATACTTATTTACCAACAATAAATTAGAAAGTAAATTGGTGGGTTCAGGGTTGAGTAGTTACACAAGATTTCGGATCCCAATTGATATTGGGATCTGAAATACTGCGATACGCCATCTGGTGAGAGCCTTGTTGTGGTGGCCATGTTTTCATTCCGTGTTTCTCTAACATATACAAAAGAAAGAGATAAAAAACCAAGATGGTTGTCACAAGAAGGCTCAGGGGTGGGTCAGTTTCGCGTGATTTCTGATCCCAATAGCTACAATGTCGAAAACCCGGTTTTCTACAGTATTATACGTATAATACGTCATTTATGTATAAAGGTGCTTATATACCTCAAATTTCGATCAGATGAACATTATTTCTGGACCGTGAAAATGCGTGAAAAGTCATTTTCACGGCGGGTATTTTTGAATTGTTTCAAACAAAAAATGTTTTTTTAAGAAATATAATATTAAATAATTGTTTTAATATGTAAGAACACTTTAAAATAGTGATAGAAAGATGATTTGATTGAAAAATTTAGCAAATTTTGCTTTAAAACGTTTTCTGCTACAAGAAAGTGTAAAATGACGATGTTTGTGAAATGGTTTGTACAGTGCTTCTTCCTTGTGAGTGTTTCTCAGAGTTTTGTTTATGTTATGTCGGTTCTTTTTAACTTGTAATAAATAATGAGTGCTGAAAATAAATTGGTAAGTTGAAATGTTTATCAAATAAATTTAAATTCAACTAATTGTTTCGAATAACTGAAAGAAACATGTAAACATGTACACTGTACAAACCATTTCACAAACATCGTCATTTTATACTTTCTTGTAGCAGAAAACGTTTTAAAGCAAAATTTGCTAAATTTTTTAATCAAATCATCTTTCTATCACTATTTTAAAGTGTTCTTACATATTAAAACAATTATTTAATATTATATTTCTTAAAAAAACCTTTTTTGTATAAAACAATTCAAAAATACCCGCCGTGAAAATGACTTTTCACGCATTTTCACGGTCCAGAAATAATGTTCATCTGATCGAAATTTGAGGTATATAAGCACCTTTATACGTAGAAAACCTCCAGAAAAACACTTTTACCTATCTCTGGCGAGCGGTCCGCATTTGCGTTACGTTTTTTATATATATAGATATAGTTAAATGTAGGAAGCGTCACGGAAAGCGGACCGCTCGCTCAGTTTTCGGTGAGTGTAGAATCAGCATTATATAGAGTTCAGTGCCTCCAGACCTCTGACGTCATATCTTGAACTCGAAATATATCGATGAACTGACAGAGTCTACTGCGACAGAGCCCTTACGTGATTGGTTGATATTTTTACATGCGCGTGGCCAGACCGTACAACTTGATTGAACTTGGATCTATTGTTCGTTGCTATAGCGACATATGTGTCATGTTAATTAACAACAGTTGTAAAAAGAGTTATTATGAAAAGTGAAAGATAAAAGTACTGTTTAAAAATAAGGATTGTAAATAAATTAAATGTTTTTACTTGCTGACAGCTGTAGAACAAATTTTATTTTATTACATTTAATCAAGGCAAGTTGCATTTTAGGTTATCTAGTTAAGACGAGCAGTACTTAAAATTATTTACAGACAAATTTTTTAAAGTGAATAATTTTTCCAAACCTGGTTCAAATAATGCGTAATAAATAACAATTTTTAGTGTATAATTTATAATTTAAGGACAAATAAAAATAACAAGATAAATATTAAATTGTGTAAAGAAAGATTTATAGTGTGTATTTTAATGTCATGATTGTTATTTTTTTGCAAAAATTGGTAAATATTTTACTTAGAAAAAAATATATTAAATGAACATTATCTTCCTGTTATCTAATTTCTGGTTTTCGTGTTTACAAAAAGAAAAAACTTCGATTCCCGGTCATTTTTCCAGAAGAAGTATTTTTTGAATGGATGGTATTCCTAACGAATCTAAATTATTACATATAATAATCGTGAATATCTTTCGTTCATTCTGTCCACACCTGAAGTTAGTATTTGTTATAGGTCTTTTGTTTTTTTTTAAATGTGTTGTATGAAATTATTTTGTGTTGGTTAAAATTTTTCAATGTTTTTAAAAATAATAAAAAAAATTTTATATTATTTATTTATATTATATTTATTATTTATATTATATATTACAAATTAAATTTTTTTTTTATTTTTCACAAAATATTTATTTATTTTTGTTATTATAATTAAAAAAATTTATATTATATATATATTTATATTATATATACATATAAATTTTTAATTTTGACTAAATATTAATTTTTTAAAATAATTTTTATTTTTAAATATTAACTTAATATAAAATTTTCTAAAATAATTTTTATTTAAAATAAAAATTAAATTATTATATTTTATATATATTTATATATGTTACATTAATTAATTAATTAGGAATATTGAATAATATCTTTCTATATTATAAAGGGTGTTTTCGGCACTTACTGGCAGTAACTGTGTCTGTGGTGCTCAACTGTAAAATTATAATTTGGCGTTTTGCTTTTCATTGTAATTGGACAGTGTATAAAATCCCTCTTTCTGATTGGTGAAGAAATTGTAGATGTGAAACGTGCCATAGATTTTGGCAAAACATAACCTATTTTTCGAATTTTTAGCCAGAAAGTTATGGCGCACTCACACCTTTTTTGGCTGCCTGCCTGCCTGCAGGTTACCATGGCAACGCACGAGTGTGAGTGAGACAGAAAATTTGAATATTCAAATTTTTAAATTTTCTGTCGCACTCACTCTCATGCGTTGCCATGGTAACCTGCAGGCAGCCAAAAAGGTGTGAGAGCGCCTTTATAAATGAAAGATAGAAAAATTACTGCCAGTGACTGTTAGCTAATTTGTGACTGTGAAAGAAAAACAGTAAAAGTGAAAATGGCAGCAGGTATGTATTTATTTATTAAATATTAATAAAAGTAATTATAAAATTAGGATTATTTTTCTTTAAATATTAGTTTAAAGTGGAAAATGTACGGAAAACTATTTTTAACTATTACTTTTGTAACAATTACGTTTTCAAAATTCGTTTGTCAAATTACATATAATTTTGCAATTGATATCCATTAATTATGAAAAAGTAGAATCAGTAATTAAATTTCAAATTACTCAAATTAAAGTAAACAGAATGCATTTCCAAATTTTTTTGTCACTTTTTTCATTTTCACTTTAAATATGCAAGAAATATTAAATTGAAAGTTTGTAATTTCTGCATGTTTGCGAACTTTACAATTTAAAATATCTCTGTTGAAGAAAACGTTGTGTCTATTTCGCCTGTTTGCCTGTGGACGAAGCAATAGCGGTAGCAATCGTCAATATCATTCTAGATGATGATGATGATGATGTTGTGGAAGAGGAAGAGGAGGAACTTCTCCATTTATTAGCTTTGTTGGTATTTTTCTTCGGGGATAAGGTCCGACATATTCCCAAGACTTTAAATTACTTTGAGCAAGTGATTCCTCTATTTTCACTGTCAGGTAAAAATATCTATCTATTATAAATAAAATCAAATTGTTGTCTATACATTGCTTTAAACTTGAAAATGCATGCATATTTTTTCGTTTTAAGTAATAAATAAGTGTCTGTAGACACTTCTTTTAAGAAAATGAAAGTAAATTCAAATAATTTTATCGATATGATTATAGTCAAATTTTTGACTAATTGTGAGAAAAGTATTTAATTTTCATATTAATAAAAATTATGTTTCTTGTCTTAATCTATTTGTAATTATTAACAGATTTTCAATCTCATTTTCGGATGACAAGGGGAACTTTTGAGCGTTTGAGCCAGATTTTGGGACCGTATTTAAATACTCCGCAATCAAATGTACCGGTTGAAAAAAAACTGTTACTCTCCATATGGACTTTTGGAAACCAAGAAGTTTTTAGGTTTTTAAATTAAAGTTGATTCGATACATATAAATAAATGCTTCTTCTATAAAATTTACATTGGAATTTCACAGAAAGCAAAATAATTTAATTAACTTAAAGTACTTTATCACAATTTTAAAAAAAACCCATTTTTACCCACACTGGAATTTCATGAATCCGATAAATTCTGATTACTAAAAATCTATTAATACTTTTAATTTCGCTCAGCTTAAGTGTATAATTATTAAAATCTATTGTCGAAAGTAAAAATTGGTCTTATAGATCAGTAGCTGATAGGTTTGGTGTTTCCAAATCAACGGCATGGATTTGCGTCATGCACATCGCTAACTTACTTTGCGAACTAGCCCATAAATTTATTCAGTGGCCCACAGGAGAGATGATTAGAAGTAATCAGGAAGAGTTTCTACTAATAGCTAACTTCCCAGGAGTTCTTGGATGCATTGATGGGTGTCATATTAGAATTAGTGCCCCACATGACTATGCCGACATTTATTTCAACAGAAAAGGATTTTATTCAATAAATATGCAAGCGATTTGCGATGCACATATGCTCTTTATTGACATTTACGCAGCTTGCCCCGGAAGTGTCAATGATGCGCGCGTATGGACATTAAGTACCATAAGAGAAAAAAGTCTTCGAAATTATGAGCATTATTTTCCCGAACAGACCCATATTCTCGGGGACAAAATTTACTCTGTACTGTTTAATTTAATTCCACCCTTTAAAGATTATGTCAATATGCGAATAAGGGAGAGGCATTTTAATAAAATTCATGCCCGAACGCGCCAAGTAATAGAGAGAGCCTTTGCGTTGTTGGTGGCTCGTTTTAGACGATTAAAACATCTCTATTTACAAAACGTTGCATACGCGTCTTTAATTATTCTTGCGTGTTCTTGCCTACATAATATATGTCTCTCATTGGATGATCGACTTGCAGAAGAAATAATCCTTAATATTGATGCTGATGAACTTGATAATGTTGAAGACGTCGAAAATGATGACGATGTTCTGCCGGAAAATGTCCCATTTCATCCGGAATTAAAACGACAAATAATTGTCGATGAATTGTACCTTAACCATTGAAGGTAATGCTCAATTAGCTTGTGATGAAGTCGGATCTCCTTCTTACAATAGCTAAAGATGTTTTAATCATGATTGAAAATTAATCCTTTGATATATATCATACACATTTTTCACTAATTTCGAGACTGAAAAAATGTGCCAAAAAGTACCTCGAGTATTAAATGTGATTCACATTCTCTTTCTACTTCTGTATTTTTTTATTCTTCAACGGGATCATACATCGTGGCACATCTAACTCGCAAAGGCATTATCATAATCATCAGAAGAAATTATATTTTGGAAAAGAAGAAGAAGAAGAAGTAGAAACTTTATAAATCTCATCCACAAGAGCAATGAATTTAAACTTTTTCTGATAATATTCATGTGTTTTAGATTATATTTATGTCAATGTATATACAAGGTCAAGAAAAAAAGGAATATAAAAAAAATTGCAATTTTATTTTTCTAAAATGTTAATTACTTGCATAAAGTCTTTTATGTAATTTGTCTGATTTTTTTAAATATCAATTTGATGATGGAAGTTATTGTGAAAGAAAAAAAACAGTAAATTTATTGTGATAAGAAGAAAAAAAAATTATAGTACATATGATAGCTCTTCTGATAAGAGATTTTTGTCTTCGTTTTTGAAGATGTATGGTAAAGACTTGTAAAAAAATTTCATGTGATATTTAGTCGTAAAGAACAACTTAAATTGTAATTTATTTTTTATGTATTACTTTCACGAGCGCTATTGTATAAGTCAATCGTATCGAATGTTTGCTTGTATGAAGTAAAATAATAGTTTGTCTTTAAAGAAACGGTTCAGAAAATTTTAATCTTTTTTTATTTCTACGGTTATGGTTTTCAATTATGTGACAGACCGATAAAAACGTTTTGTGATATAGTTTTTAAGTTAAAGCTGATCAATGATTATATGGGCAAATCCACAGAACCGGCCGATTTCATGTTACTCACATATTTTTCTATTTTAGAAGTATATTAATTATTTTCATACTTCAACCATTTTGTAATATCTCTGAGAACCTATTGAAATAAGAAAATTGAATAAATGTGAACCTTCTAGTCTTTTATAAAAAATAAAATCGAATTAAGTAACTTAAAAAATGAAATTTACGGTGTTACTCCAGGTATAAATTTTAATTCTTATAGGTATAACTTGTTCGGCATAGATCCGAACAATTCCAAACTGTGGTGAATTATAGTTTACTTATTGAAGAATGTTTTGAAAGTAATAAAAAATATGTGCTCTTAAATAAAAAGAAATGATAGTCGTTGAAAGTAGCGTTACTCATTATTTTATAATAATGAAATGTCTATACATTTTTGTAAATATCATTTGCGGCGATTATTCAATTTGAATTTTTCAAATTGGAGCATATTGCTTGTGAACAGACGAACAAATGTATGTATCATAGAATAGAGTGCAATAAGAATTAAAGAAAATATTCCAATAATTATCACTCTATGTTTAAGCGTGAACCATTTTCAACTTAGCCTTTTTTCAGTAGCACAACTACAGGATAAAATATGATGAGTTGAAAACATGTGTGATTATATAAAGACATTATTATAATTCTTGTATGCAAACGCCAAATTATATTTTCAATTTATAACGTCTAAAAATTAAAAATAAAAAAAAATTTATCGAAATTTAACTAGTTAATCGTGAAAAATGAATTATCCTTTCATTTGTTTTATTTTCAAAGTTATATCAAAATCGATGTCAATAATGTCAGTTTGTTGGTTAAAATAGTTAATATCAAAATTAGTAAGTAAACAATTTAATTTACAGAAATAAAAAATTAAATGCTAATAAATAAAATATATAATAAAATATAATAAAATATAAATAATTTATTTTTGATAATTAAAAAATTAATTATTTGTATTTTATCATATTTTATTATTCAAAATGTTTTGCACATATTTCAAATAATATATAAAAAATACAAAGAAATGCCATTTTTAATTATAATTTCCAGAAGAAAAATAATATTTTCGTTTTTGGCTTTTAACTCAAACGGCATTAAAATAAAATGAATCACGCAAGAAGATAATTGTTCTTGAATATATTTTAAAGAAAGTAAACCATAAATAAAAGGTGTGCTTGCTATTTGGAAAATTTTCATCTTGATAAGTAAAAATCGGCCGGTTCTGTGGATTTGCCCATATGCAGTTTTTTAATAAAAAAAAGTAATAAATTTGACCGAGCAAAATCACCATCAGGTCCACTTATTCATGTCATCATTATTGTCATTATAAATATTGAATTAAAGATAATATATTATAAAAAAATAAGAAAGAACAACTTATTGTACAACAATATAATTATTATTTTTAAAGCGATAAAGCATAGAAAATTCATTTTTCCAAATTTAACGAGATATTTTATTTTATTAAGATTAAGAATTAAAATAAATTATAATAACATTCAAATGTTAAATTTATGTTTTCTTAATCCTTTTTTTTTGTTTCAAGACCTTTCTATCTATTGTTAGAGCCATCTACATAAATACATACGTACATACATACTGTATGTTCGTTACAACAAAAATGTATTAATCCAAAAAATAAACATTAACTTATTTATGATTTAATTAAAATTATTATTGTATTCCTAATTCATTTGTTACTACAGAAGGAAAATAGGGAAAAAATTACAAGAAAAATTATATGTAATTATTTATTAATATATTTAACAATTTCATATATTATATTAAATAAAATACAATAAGAACTTTAAGCCGTACAAAATCTAAGTTGGGCACTATAAACTAAGAATAAAAAAATAAATGAATATTTTTAAAGAAGAAAAATAAAACAAAGCTTTGGGAAAGTGATTAACACTACAATTGCAGAATTAATACTCTCTTTTTATTACATTTACTCCCAGAACAAATTTTAATTTCAATAATAAATCTGTTAATCCCCAATTTTTTTCAGTAAAGCGATTAACGCCAATGTAAAAATAATCTTTTCTTTTGCTTATATTTCTAAAAAGAATCTTAATAAAAATAATCTTCATGATAAAATAATCCTAATTAGATTCTTTTGTATTAGAATTAAAATTTTCCTAATATTCCTAATTCCACTAACAATAAGAAAATCACAAAATTTAGTCTCTTTTTCCATCTGAATAATTGGTGTGAATCCAATTGATCGCAGTGTTGCTATTTTCGAGTTGCTCGACGTACAAATGATGATTCTTAATAAATCAAGATAAATTATAAACATATTTTTCTCATACAAATATAGTGATTAAAGTCACTTTCAATTTTGCAATTTTAAAATAGATTAAAAAATTTATTTTCTTTCTCTGAGCGCTGCTGTCAAATCTTTAACTGCCTTAATCATTTCGTCTTTTTTGTCTATTATAGTGTCCAACCTTTCATCTCTTTTCATCAACTTAGAGTGAATAGTTTGTAATAGCTCTGTTTGAGTTGTTTTGTTTTTTTCTTTATTAATTTTAGGTAATTTGTTTTCGGCAGGAGTATTTTTATCGAGAGCTATTCTCTTTAGATAACCGTTGATGCTAGAGGCAACAGCCGGTGGGTTTATGTTCGGTTTTTTATACATTATTGCATGCATATCATCAAAATATTGCCATTTAATTGTACTTGTGCCAGTATTATTTTACTTACTTAAATTATTTTTATATGTCCGTTGCAGCGAATCTTATTTTGATTTGCATTTAGTAAATGTCATATTAATACCATTTTTCTTTAATTCCTCACTCATCTTCCAAAAACGCTCACCTTTCAATTTAGAATTTTGAGAAAGGAGAGAATAACAATTAATAACCACCATTGTTGTATCTTTTTTTCGTAAATTCAAACGCTTTGCATCTGAAAATATAATTAAAACGTTTGAATAAACACTGAACAAATGAATTCTATTAAATGAGAATTTGATGAAATACCAAGAAGAGAATCTGAGGGATCACAGTGGCATTTTCACTTTAAATTAGGGGAAAAGTGGATTTTTTTTTAAAAAAAGGGGGATTCTGAAAATGATGTAGCAAACTAGCTTCAAGACTTAAAAAATTAGTAAAACGTAGACGTTGAAAAATTAAATTTGACGACTAAAGAAACTCGTTGTAGATAATTCACAAGAGTCACAAAAATTTAATTCTGCATTTTATTTACCTGACATTCTCCTAATTTTCAAAAATATTTACTTTTTTCTTATCCTGATAAAAAGTTCAATTCTGAATTTTTGCAAAATTCAATTATTTTCTAAATTCTAATTAAAATTCTGCAAAAATATAATTTTATATTTAAAAATTATTTTTATAAATAAGCAAATAAAATATTCTGTAAAACGTAGAATTAATTTCAATTCAATTTGACAAAATTTCCAAATAATTGGAAATTTAATTTAATGTTTTGAAATTAATTACAGAAATTTAACTATCTTCAAAAGAATTTTAATTAAAATTTATTAAAAGGATAATTTTTTAAAGAAATTTTCTAAATTAAATTAAATCCCAAACTTAAACAACTTTTGTTGAATAAATATTTGAATATTTATATTTTTTCCATGGGAATAAAATTTTTTTTAATGATTTCAATGTAAAAGATTTTTGTAATTTTTATTATTTCGAAAAATTTTAATTGTAATTCTTCCAAAATTCAATTATTTCTTTCTTGGAATTTTTGAATAAAACTATTCAAAATAAAATCTATTTTTTAAGAAAATAAAAAATGAATTATTTTTCAAAATATAAATTTTAATAAATTATTACAATTTAGCAACAAATAAAATTTTGAATGATTTCAATTTAAATATCTTTTAAAATTTAATTATTTCTTAAAATTCATACTATAACGCTTCTTATATTAAATTATTATTTAAAATTTTAACTGAATTTCATTTTTAAATTAAATTCTTATTAGAAAGTTTCAATTCAATTGTTTATATACAAAAATAAATAATTAATTGAATATCTCTTAAAGTTAAATTCTTATAAAAAATTTCATCAAAATTTTCTAAAATAATTTAATTTTTTCAAATAATTTTAATATACTTTTTAAGAAAAATTGTATTTTTCGAGGAATTCATTTAAAACTGTATTTAAAAAATTGAAATTCTGCGTTGCATGAGTTTTATCAAAATTTTTTTTAAATAATTGAATTCCTGAAAAGAAATTTATTTATATTTTTGTAAATAATTGAATTCTTGCGAAGAATTTGATTCATATTTTTGTAAATAATTGAATTCCTATTAAAAATTTTATTATTTGTGAAATTAATTGAAACTTGCACAAAAGCATTTATCAAAAAAATTAATCATTATTTTTACATTTACAAAAAAATTACATTTTGTGAAAAAATGGAAAAGGGGAGAAAATTCTCGAAATAAGGGGAAAAGAGGAGAACAATTTTATTTAAGGGGAAAAAAGAGGAAGAAGGGGACAAACTGTGATCCCTGGAATCTTTTAAAAAAATAAATAACATTTTAAATTGCAACATACTCGGATTTTTATTTTCGACGTCATCTTCGAGAACGTTCCCCTCCTCGACGCCCACGACAATGCACTCCTCCTCGTCGTCTTCGACAACATTCCCCTCCACGCCGCTTATGACAATGCTCTCCTCCTCGTCGTCTTCGACAACGATCCTCTCCTCGTCGTCTTCGACAACGTTTTCCTCCTCGCTGTCGTCGACAACGTCGTTCTCTTCACACTCAGCGTCGTCCATAAAACTATCTTCGGCAATGTCTCCGGTGTCCATGGCATTTTTAAAGTGATGATCTAGATATGATCCTTGAGACAAACAAAAATTTAAAAATTAATACTTGTTTTAAAAATGGTATACTTTGAAATGATGATGGATCATCAGAACACAGTGTCAGTGTCTAGTAAATTTAAAATTAAAATAATTATAAAAAATTAAACTAAATTTTAAATAAAAATGCTTCAATTTAAAAAAATTCTCCAGTTTTTCATAAAGATAGAGAAAATTTTAAAAATTCAGAAAAAAATGCTCCAGCTTTTCATAAAAATAGGGGAAACTTTTTAATTCAAAAGAATTCTTCAGTTTCTCATATAAATGGAGCAAATTATAATAATTTAAAACTTTTTAACAATTATTTGTTATAACTTTAAAAACTTTGACCTTTAAAAAATTTAAAAATAATTATAATAATAACTATTAATATAGAATAGTATTAATTATTATTATCATTAATATTATTATTAATAATATTATTATTAATAATAATATTATTATTATTGTTATTATTAATTATGAAAAAAAAGTGATCCCAAATAAACATTTCCTCACCTGCTTTGACATTAGATGTAGAAGGCAAGTCAAGAAAAGTCCACACCTCATCGGGCTTCGGCATCGAGTAGAAAATATTTTTGTTAGCTGGGTTTAAATATGATAACCCAGAATAACCTCCTCCTGTATTGGTTGATTTTAAAAGAAAAATTTGAAAAGTTAGATTATTATTTACAAGTAAGTGTAACGAGAGGGAAAGTTGAAAGGGACCTATAGTCCAAAACAATCGATTTTTTTGTTTCGTGATTTGATAGAGAAAATGTATGAAATTTTTATTAATACAAATTTTTGTTTATTCCAATTTGAATTAATTCTTATTTTTTTTGTAAAAATATTTATTAGTAAAAACCAGTTTCAACGTTTTTAAAATTCATGAAAATCACTCATCTAAAGTTATGCTCTCACCTTTTGCTTGCATGCACGCATGCAGAAGTTGTCATGCCAATGTGGATGAGTAAGTGAGAGAAAAAATTCAAATTTAAATTTACTATCTCTATGACTCCTATACGTTGCCATGACAACTTCTGTATGCGTGCATGCAAGCAAAAGATGAGAGCGTACCTTAACTCTATCAAAATTTTAAACGATAGAAAATTTCAATTTTTCAAATTAATTCACAAATTTTAAAGAATATTAATTTCCATTCACTTTAATTTAAATTAACCTCACATTTTAATTATTTTCAATTTTCCTTAATAAAAATGTTGGAAATTTCAATTATATTTCTCCAAATTGTAAATGATTTTAATTTCAATTCATTATAAATTAAATCAGCCCCAAACTCAATACATCTCTTTAATTTATATATTAAAATTTTAATTTATTCAAACTCCAATTACAAATAAGATGTAAGATTTATTTCTTAATAGTTTAAAATAGATATTTTTATTTTTAAAATAAAATTAAAGAAGAAAGTAATAAATAATAAAAATAGGTG